GAATCCATTTCATAAAGTTTGTAATTTGTAGTGTGGGATGTTAGTAAATCAAAAACAACGTCAAACTGCTACGACATTTTGTTTGTTACTGCGCTTACTCTTAAATTATTACTACATCAAAACTCAATTACCTATATTAAATATTCAAGACTCAATTGACATGCCAAGATAACTAGGTAATAAAGTAATTTTATTTATATTTTACATTGCATAATGACCGCCTGATTAGGTTTTCATCAAAATCAAGTCTTTAAAAAAACGTATTAATGCTAAATTAATAATTAAGAGTTGAAAGTAGCCTTCGTTAACAATGACATCGGGACGTCAAACGGCTCAGTCCCTCCCGTGACCTTGGGTAATGGAAAGTGCCCGTAGCGTCGGGTATTAAAAAAGTTAAAATTGAACGCTATAAAATCCGTAAAATTAGTTTTATTCAACGGTACATCAGTTTTATGGCTGCTATGTGATATTTTAGTCTTTATCTTTCAGAAGCCCACTTAAAAAGTATGTGAATAATATTGTGGATTTGTTTCGTAGCGCAATGTTGCAAACGAAAAGAACTACGCTTACTATTAACGAACGCTTAGCTATTTCTTTTGTAGAATTCTTAAATTGTGTTTTATCCTAATCAACTTTTGTAGTTTTTCTAAGTAAATTCTTAAGCACTTTTAAGCCCGGGGAAAATGTAAAGAATTTCTCATTATAACCAACTTCAGGCATTACTTCTTGCCATCGCAGTTCTGAATATTGAAATGAATGGCGGAAGTTTGCAGACAAACTAGGAACTGTGAATAATAATGACCTGTGCTCACTGAAACTAAAGAGATTGTGTTAAGTAAAATTCCAACTTAAAAGCTTTCTACGCAGTAATAAGATGCAATGTCTATTATGTAAGCTTAAAGAGTATAATTCAAAATATTATAGTTATGAGAGTATTGTAAGAAAATGAATAGCAAGTTTGATTTATTTTAAAAATATAAACACTTAAAAACGTTTCTTATTTTTACGTAATTTTGAAGGTTACAAGTTTTTCACTTGTTCAGTAGGAAAAAATCTTTTTAGGAATAAAATAATAAAATTATATTCGGCATTAGGCAAAAAACATTCTTTTTTTGTTTGATAAAAGAGTTTTTTTTAACTATATAATGTCTTGAGTGACTGACGTGACTCACTTTTTTTTTTCCCCTTTCTTGGCCTGCACGGTTTGTGCGTCAGCCATGCAAAAAGGTTAGGAAGTAAGATTTATTTTATTGAATTGGAAATTGGAACGGAATTTGGAAAAGGATCAGGTAAATTTAGTATATAAGTACATAAATTATTATAATTTTATATTGTTATGAAAAATGAAACTGGCTAAAATTCTATATACATCAATATTTACATAAGATAAAAGGACAGAAATTGAAGTAGGAAAAGGAATTTTAATGGACAAAAGCGAGGAAATAAAAGCGGAACGGTCATGTCGAGGACAAGCAAAGAATATATGGTTAAAATCCCCAACGTCATTGCCACACTCACATATATTACTAGGCAAAAGTTTAAGCCTTGCCAAATGCAAGGGAATGCATGCATGGCCCAGCCTCATACGAATAAGGGTAGAAGTGATAGCTTTACCAAACGTCAGATTTGAAAACCACGGTTTAGGAGGTATATCCACCTGGATCGTACTATAATATCGACCTATAGTCTGACTTGAAGAACGCCAAATGTGTGTCCAAGAATTCAATAACTGGGATTTAGGAAGGAGAGCCAAATCACAACAAAAGTTTTTGTACGGAACTAGATCTCCGTCATTGACTGCAGCTTTGGCAAGGCTATCGGCCTTGGTATTGCCAAAGATACCTGAGTGCCCCGGAATCCAAGCAAAAGAAACTGTGTAATTTTTGATGCAACATTGATACAATAAATCACGACATGCAATAATAACTGGATGATTATTTCTGTTACTGCTAAAAGGAAATCTTTCCAAGGCTTGGAGGGCACTTTTAGCATCGGTAAAAATTATTGAGTTTTTTAACTTCATGATTAAAATGTACTCCAGAGACTTCAACAGACCAAAACATTCTCTAGTAAATACTGAAGTCTCTGGAGGCAATTTTATTTTCTGTACAATGCCAAACTGTTGATGGAAAACGCCAACTCCCACACACTCCTCGGAACCGGGTTTGGAAGAATCACTAAAAATTAAATGGCAATGTTTCCATCGGCTGTCACTGTCAACAATATCAATAAATTTGGCGTTGGCAGATGGATCTTGTTTACATACACCGAAATCAAATAAAATAGATGGTTTTAAAATTAAGGCATCATAGTTAACACAAAATATAGGAAGGAATTGTGATCTATGTGTTGGAGCTTGAAGAGCTAAGAATTTTTGGAAACTAACAATAAGGCATGGCGGCGATTTATGAGCCCAGTACGGATAGTCCATACATTCCAACAGAGACCGTAACCTAGAGTAAAGAGGATGATTATAGACTTCGAATGCTCTAAACAGGAACCTGTCACAAAGAAATTGTCGTCTGAGATGCAGGGGCGCTTCAGAACATTCAACCTGCAAAGCGTTAATAGGGCTTGAACGCATAGCCCCAGCAATTATTCTCAGAGCCTTAGACTGGATAATGTCTAACTTATGGAGAGCTACTGCATTACAGGGTTCAAGAATAAATGTTCCATAGTCTAAAATATTCCTTATTAGGGCATTATATAGAAGCTTTAGAGAGAAAGGGTGGGCTCCCCACCAAACTCCAGAGAGGCAGCGCAGTATATTTAGAATCTTCTCACATTTGGCACTTATATAGTAGCAATGAGGAATGCCTGTAAGTCTCGAGTCTAAAATTACCCCAAGAAATGTTGCTTCGCTTTTAACGGGAACTCTAATGTTATTATAAAATACAGACACTGGAGGAGGAAGCCTCATACGTGAAAATAAGACTATACTACTTTTAGGAACCGAAAGGTTTAGACAGTTATTGTCAAGCCAAACTTTTAGCAACTTAAGGGAATATGTCATTGTATCAGACATGTTATCAACAGAATCACCAGAGACATAGAGGAGTAAATCATCTGCATATTGGAGTGTGCTAACTTTACCCTTAAGGGAGGCTTCCAGATCATGAGAATATATATTGTAAATTAAGGGACTTAAAACTGAGCCCTGGGGTATACCTTTCCAGGCAATACGAGATTGGTAGGAGTCTTCTGATATTACTTTAAGCATTCTACCAGAGAGAAGATTGATTGTGAATCTTATAAAAATTTGTGGGATATCCAAATTAATCATTTTTTGTTTCAGAATTGAAAGGTTGACATTATCATAGGCTGCAGATACATCTAAGAATGCAGCTAACACAAACTTATTGTACGAAAATGCCAATCTTAAGTCTGTCATAAAAATGCTGAGACTATCCATCGTACTCCTACCTTTCCTAAATCCAAACTGGTTTGGAGATAGTAACCCCTTACTCTCAATAAACCATTCTAGCCTATTTTTAACTAAATGTTCGGAAATTTTGGAAATAACTGAAGCTAATGCAATTGGTCTGTAAGATGATGGATCATTAATCGGTTTGTCGGGCTTATGTATTGGGATAACTTCATGGATTTTCCATGATGGAGGAATATTACCTGATCTTAAAATTGAATTAATTAAACTAAGAAAATAAGAAAGGCAGGAGTCGTTTAAGTTTTGAAGAAAATAATATGGGATTCCATCACAACCTGGGGCTGAGTCCCTAAGTTTTGAAAGAACCCCTTTGAGTTCTGAAAGGCTAAAGGAAATGAATGAATCGCTACTATCATGCTGGGAGAGGAGAGAAGGCTGTGGGTCAGAAGAAATATTATCTATAGATGGGACAAATGGTGGAGCTAATTTGTCAAGAAACAAATCAACTGTACTGCTATCCATAAAAGGAGACCTTGGAGGCTTAAAAGCGGATCCGAATCTACGAATATTTTGCCAAACTTCAGATGGAGAAATGTCTGGTGAAATTGAGGCACAAAAAGATTTCCAGCCATTGAATCTTTTTTGTTTTAATAATTTACGTGTTTTAGTTATAAGATTACAAAGAATATTAAAATTTTGTGTTGTAGAATTTTTTCTGTAATTTTTTTCAGCTATCTTTCTCTCAGCTATCGCAGCAGAACACTCACTGTCCCACCAAGGAGGTGATGGAATATACCCATTGCCACTATTATTTTTAATAGGAAAAACTTCCTCAGCAGCCTGTAGTAGGGCCCGTGTAAAAGCTTCAGCACAAAGATGATTATTGTTGTCATTTAGTGGAGGTATAGTTGATAAATTTTGTTGAACTTTATCTCTAAATAATGACCAGTTGGCATCCTTAAGTATATATTTTAGCCGGGGAGGAGCCTTAGACATCTTTTCGCCAATTTTTTGAGGAAATGATATAATTAGCGGAAAGTGATCGCTTCCATATGACGACGATAGTGGCCACCAGTTTAATGTAGGAGCTAGGGAGGGACTACACAGGGTAAGGTCTGGTGCACTAATACCCTCATGGGGCTGAGTCCTTCTAGTAGGACAACCAGAGTTTAGAAGGCATAAATTATTATCATCTAAGATGTCTAAGATTCTAGCCCCATAATGATCAGATTTAGAACTTCCCCACATAGAATGTTGTGCATTGAAGTCTCCCATGACCAAAATAGGACGTGGGAGGGAAGATAGAATGTTACGAATATCGTCAAAGACTTCAGTGGAAGGGTGAGGTATATACATATTTACAAAACATATATTATTTACACTAACAGCAATAATTGAAAATTTATTACTGTGATTAGGGATGGGTATGTGGACAAAGGGCACACCGCCCTTAAGAATTAGTGCAACTCCACCATACCCATCTGTTCTGTCTTCTCTAAGACAGATATGTCCTGGAATTCTAAAGTTGAGTCCGGGACGAAGCCAAGTCTCTTGAAGAGAGACTGCAAATGGTTTGTAACTATTCAATAAAAAAATTAGGTCACTTTTTTTGCTATTAATACTCCGGCAATTCCATTGAATCACCAGAGACTGGTTTTGTGGATGGTCCTGACTGTCCATGAGTTAAAAAACTTTTTGAAGAAGCGGCATCGTTGGACGGTATTTTAATTAGGTTAGATCGTGAAAGGTACTGAATTATAGAAATGATGAGATCCTTTGTTATTATTTCTGATAGATCTTTGTAATTTTTGAGACAACCTGTAGAAAAGGAAGGAATGTTGCTGTAATCTTGGATAAGCTCTGCATGCGCTTTTTGATCATATCCCTTACTAGTATTTCTGGGACGACCTTTGGGTTTCGAGAATACTGTTTTCCTATATGACTGTGTGTGACTCTTAGAAGGGCTTGTTGAATTATAGGGGCTGGAATAAGTAATAGTTCGAGCAGAAGGGGCCAATGAAGCAGAAGCAACGACGTCAGATTTCGAAACTGGTGGATGGACTTTACTGGCCTCTGAATAAGATATAGAGTTTCTAGCCATTGTTTCTTTTATAGCTTTTTGCCTAGCATACTCCGGACACTTTTTGTCTGTTGCAAAATGGGAACCAGAACATAAGATACACACAGCATCATCTCTTTCAGTCTCGCAGCTTATACCTGAATGGTTGTCACCACATTTGTAACACCTTGGGGAGCCTCTGCATTGCATTTTGGTGTGACCAAATCGGCAGCAATTAAAGCATTGCAGCGTGGGGTAAATATAAAGCTCTACAGATAGGGAGTTGAAACATATAAAGACCCTGGGAGGTAGCACCTTCCCATCAAAGGTTAAAACTACGGTCTCGGTTGGAATGAACTTGGGCGTCTCGCCATCATATACCTTTCTATTTAATCTCCGAACTTTCAAAATACTTCCACAGTTCTGCGGAAGGTCAATATTTTCCATTATATCTTTCTCATCCCAGTCACATGGAACACCTCTCACTATTCCCATGCGGGTGATAGTGAAGGCCGGAATAAATGCTTTGTATTTATTAACATCAAGAGATTTGTGATTTAGAAATGTGTTAGCATCCTGAAATGTTTCAAATTGTAAAGACAATCTGTTCCTTCCAATTTTTTTGATGCTTCCCTCTACAATGCTTTTTATTAAACTTTTTTTAAGGAAAAATCCAAATTGTACTGGGTGAATAGATCCAGTTTGATTTGGTTGTAAGATTTTTTGAACATGGACAACATAAGGCGCAGGATCTGACGCCTGGTAAAGCGACCTAGCAGCGCGAGGGTTACTTGTAATATTGCTAGAGTGAGCGGCCTCATTATGGTGGATTTCAGTGTTTTTATCATCAGACTCAAGCGCTTTAGTAATAACATTATCCTTTAAATCGTTAGGGGAAAGTTGGCAATCTGATAGACCCGAAGGTCTGTGATTCCTTCTCTTCTTTTGGTTTCTAGCTGAGATTCTCTTTCTTTTAACCGATTTCGTGTTTTCCGAACAGTCTGTATCTATAATTGAACCTTCCGTTTCCATTCCCGACGCATCGATTGTGACTACATGAGACACCTGGAGGGATGTCCCTCCAGGGTCTTCGGGCTCCAACATGGACGCCAAGAGAAAAATCCTATTTACATATAATACAATGAAATGACTTACCAGGTGAAGAAAACAAACTAAAACTATAAATAATCAACAATAACTACTAATATATATACTTTACAACTTAACTGATCCTGTAATATCAAATTAATTTAATTTTCAAAAGTTTAGCCAAAAAAGGACGCCCGCCTACTTCAAAACTTCCCGCGCTTTTCACGTGACTCACTTATCAACGCAAATTCCAAACCGCTAGAAATAGAAATTTGAAATTTTGACAGTAGCTGCCATTTAAGGCGCAAGCATCCACAAGGAAGGTATTATGGAACCCCTAAGAGAGTGAAATAAGCTGTTACAATTTTTATGATACTTATTATTTTACGGAGCGGCTGACTCAAAAATTACTGAAAGTATTCTGAGGATACAATGTATGAACATGTATTTTGTGATTTGTTCAAACTACCCCTAACAGTGCGTCCAAATGGTGTTCAAATTTGTATTGAGAAAAAGTAATAGATGATTTTTTTACTAATTGAAAAAGTGGTGAAAATAGTTTTTGAATATTTTTTCAAAAATCTTTTAAAACGTGGGTGCAGAGTTTGTATGAAACGAGTTGTATTTAAAATTACAGCCCAAACCGCCTGACGTAGAAGCATGGCATTAAAACAATAGCTTCATTTTATAAGGTAAGCACTAAGCATCTACTAAGAAAAGATTTTGGAAAATTCAAACCCTTAAAGGGTGCGAAATAGCGTGTTACAGTTTGTACGACACTTTTTATTTAATGGGGCGATTTCATATTTGTATGGTAAAAAAGTTTTTAAACGATTATGGTAACTTGAAAATTGGTGTCATTACTTTTGGATTAAAATAATGAAATATTATTTTTTTATTTCCCGAACATTTAACTATAAAGTTTTAAGACGAGTGTTTAGAACTTTGCGTGGATTTATTTTTTATTTCTAACCCTTATAACGAAATTATGATAATTATGGATAGTACATTTATTTTTCAGAATATAGAACATAAAAAAGGTGGACTTTTATAAAAAATGGTATGGTTGGGCTTTTTGTTTTGTACGAAGAGAAAGATTTATTATTGGGCCGTTTTCACTATTCGTAAGGCCTTAGTCTAATTTAAAATCTACGTACTATGCGATCTCATAATAAGTATGGATCATGACTGTTTGGTAGTTGCAACTTGGACGCGGGGGAATAGGGCGAGCCAGTATACAATACACATACATACATATGATGTTAAAAATTCAACGTGAATATCAGATAGATATTCACGTATTCAGTAATTATAAAATACGTATATTTGCAGTTAAATGTAGATGTCTATGGGCCACAGTATTCGCTTACCATCAGGTGGACTGTGTGCTCGTTTGTCACCTTTATTCTATAAAAAAAATCACTTAATGTACTATGATATAGTAATTGTATTTTTAATGTGATAAAGCGAAAAAGCAGCATTATTATTATATATTGTACAATATATGCATTATGTATGTATATCATATCATTTGTATTTTGATTCTTAACCGAGAATAAATGTTTTGCCTGTGGGCTTCAACATTTACTTACCATCAGATGAACTGTGTATCGTTTACCGTTCCTTATTTTTTAAAATATATTATGTATCTACTTCTGTAATATTTTTGAATTTTTTTTAATTAATGTTTAAATTAGGAAAATGTTCAATATATAAGAATAAAAATAAAACGATTCTATCATTCAAATACAATTAATGATATATATCATATTTATGCTTTTTACATTTAAAATTTCTAAACTACCTAAATAAATAACGTTTTGTTTAGGTTACGGAATATTTAAAACGCCGCGGTTAAGTACTAATAAAAAAACGTTTCTACAAAAATGCAATTATCGTTCTGGGAGCGCTTAATTCCGTTTAAAATAAATTGAAATTCTACGGTCCAAGAATAGCATTTTCACGCTACCGTCTCACATTTTTCGCACAACGTCATCGCGTTTCGTAAATTGTCTATTTCTTTTACCACTTGTTTAAGAGTCATTTTGCTGTTACTAAAATGTCTTTATTTCACCAAATTCATTGTTGTGAAGGGATGTAGTTTGGGGTCGAGTGCGCTAGTCGACCCAGTTGTCGGTCGCAGTGTCGGCGTCAATATGCTGTCATAGTGCTGCAACTTAAAATATGACCTATGCTAACTATTTTGAGAGCTTTAATTCCCTAGCTTAAAAAGTAAAATAGTTCAACAACTCACTTTGTGTGTCAAAGTGTCGATAGTGTATCGCGTGTTTATTGCGAACTTAAACGTTTATGTTGCATTTATTTCAGTAAAGTATTGAGCTGACCGTTGATAAAAAATGCAGTTGCCGTTCCCGATCGTACTTATTATCTTTTATAGGTCAATTGGGTATTCTTTCAGTTTGCTTTTGTGTTGTCCCAATATCTTGTTATTGAATAAGGAATCATTCTATAGATAAAAACGGAAATTTACATTTGCAGTAAAAACTGTATGATTTTGATATCAGAACAAAAATACTCACCTTTGGAATCTTTACCTCGTTCACATTATACGATAGTGCTAACACGTGTGCTTTTTAATGGAATGCCTCGTTTCCAGTGAAAAGTCTACGGTTCTCTACACTTACTATTGTGTGAGAGCGTGGTCCTTCCCCGGTCGAGCCGACCCATTCGTGCTACAACTATGCCAGTAATATAGCTGCAGCATGGCTCTACCACATAAAAGCATGGCTTTACCACGTTATGTAGTATTTACACGTTAATTAGAGAAATAATTTTTAAAAACCTTAATAATCTTATAACACAAAATTTGGGTAAAACAAGTGAACAAGATTGATAGTTTAATACGAAAAATGTTATTTTTCCCCGGTATTTTCTTGCGACCTCTCATAATTCTTTTGTGTCATTCGGTTTAAATATATTACTGATTACCTTAATAGAATAATATTGACGCATTATTTTTGGAATATAAAATACAAAATTGTGCCTTTGTCGAATCGCTTTATATTTGTAATTGTATGCACGCATAATTGCATAATACTAAGGAAAAATAAAATGTTTTGAAACCACAATAAGTCATTCGAATATAGACATAAAGCAAAACAAACAAGATTTTTTTAACTAATTGTCTGCAAACAAAAGCGAATCTTAAAGTAATAAATATCAGGTCCTTCAAGCCAGATAAGTACTTTTTAAACTACTAAGTACATCGTTATTTCGATCAACAGTTAAAAAAATACAGGAATGAATTTCTAAGCGTTGATAATTTCACACGACACAACCCAACAAATATTTGTAACATTAGTGAATTTATGAACATTATAATTCACAAGAAATTGATACTATTGTTAGAATAAAAACGAAAATTAAGTATTTTGAAAGAAAATGTATTGTTATTGCAGAAATTTCTAACGAATCTAAAAATGTCTCAAGTTAACAATAACTTTAGAATATCTAAGAGCCATCGACAATCTCTTCATTCTACCACAGGACAGTTGGTGTACAAGTTATGTAATAATGTTAGTATCAATCATCAAGTATAAGTCATGTGTGCATTTTATACGGGTTATCGACTTTGTTTGGCAGCCAGTGGTAGAAAGACATAATGTTTCGTTCGTCAAAGTAACCTGTGCTTTAACTGCCTTACTCGTATACCCAAACATAACGTATTTCAATGCAGATAGCAAACGTCTTGCAGAACTTTTAAACACAAAGCAATAGGGAACAAAGCAATAGCGAAATTGATTGAGGTCCCACGCTAGCTGTATACAAGTTTTACCTGTAAAAACACAGCTTTTCAGACGCAATTACATCCTCATATATTGCAGTCACTTTAGTTATTGATAAAGATACAGCATCTCGAAAAAGAGCCATTCTGCAGCTATATTATGGTTGTAGCACGAATGGGTCGGCTCGACCGGGGAAGGACCACACTCTCAGAGAATACCAGCGGAAAATAGCAGCTTAACGCTGCTGTGTTTCGTATGGTGAGTGTATAGAACCGGAGAACCTTTTTACTGGAAACGAGGCATTCCATCTTAGTCCTCACGGGTGACAACGCATCTGCATTTTGATTCGTAATACAAGATAGATGTAGATGTCTATGGGCCACAGCAACCATTTACTATCAGGTTGACTGTTTGCTCGTTGTCATGCTTATCCTATAAAAAAAATACCGCCGCCACTGAAACAACTATCAATACCATGGTTAGACTTGTGTGATGCAGTATCATTCACTGAGCTGACAGAAGGTATCACTGGTCTCTAAACGCACGGAAAACCTGTATTTTACTAATAACGCGTTAACGGTTGTAACTTTGCTTTAATTGCAACAAAACCGTAGAAGATCTACTTTACGCTTTGGACTGGACTGAAATCAAAGATTATAGACACCGTAAAAGGAGATACACCGTTGACAGATTTGAAATCAAAGAATTAATTTCATTTATAGAACAGAAATGGATGATAATCTAATCTTGAGAATAATTTTGATAAGATATGTCGAGAATGATTCATTATTCTGCTAGCTTACTGTCTAAAAACAACTAAAATGGAAATTTTTTAAGTTTAATACAAAGAGAGTAAGGATTTATTTATTTAAATTGTATGAAATATTACCAAAAAATACCAACTGCGTTTACGTTTAAATTGAAGAAATAATAACTGAATGAAAGTTGAGGAAAAGAAGCATTATATAATAATATATAATATAATAATAATTTATTTGATACAGAACACACAGATCCATTACAAAATTAAAATTAAAAATTTTTTAAACTATACCTTAAATTTTAATTATAATTATTGGTTAATCAAGTAATTATAAGTCTCATTTAATTATAAGTCTCACCATTCTTAAACGAGAATGGTTTATTAATATTTGGAGGCTAACTGCAACATGCTGCTATAGTGGAAGCTTCAAAGCTCGCCATAATTAATCCAGAGTCAATATATCAGCAAACTTTTAATTTAAAAAGCGCATACAAAATACTTAATAT